AACATCTGCTAAGTTGGCAATTGTAACAGATAATTCAAAGAATTAAGTACCAGTCAACCTAAGGTCGATTTGTGTCTAGCACCATTAGAATATGTGGCACAAGCGAGAGGAAAAGAAGGAAAAGTTTGTAAACTTTAGCTTGCTCATTACTAATGATGGGACCATTTCTGACGCCATCTGTTCATGAAATTAATTGCAGATCACTCATGTTCATTTCCACACAATCAGCGAGCGCCACCTTAATTTTAAAGGCAGAGTCTACAAAAACTATGCCGCCAGCGCAGTGTGAAATTTCCTGTTTCCTTCCCACAAGATGGTATTCATTTATCAATCTCGGATGGAAGAACGTCGAATGATGATATACCGAGACTCGAACCTGGTACTTCCCTTTCTAAGTGAGACGCCATACCGAATGAGCAACTTCAGTCAAGTGTGGCCGAATGGCATCTGGCCATTACACTCCTTAAATCCATAGAATCCTTTCGCTAGGAAGACTACTGCCATAATGTGACCCTCGCTGAGTTTTTCATTGAAACTGTTCAGTTGTCTGAGTTTATATCACTTTTGAAGTTACATTAACCAGCAAATCTTATTCTTTTGCTTCTACTTTCTATTGTTGTTTAAGTGATCTTCATCTACACGAACAACTTTAAACATCAGAGCTGCCCAGAAGTCCTACCCATCTGAAATAGTGTCTTAAATTCATATTAAACTTCGCTTATCGCTGCAGCGAAAGTCATATTCCTAGCCGCAAACACACCAGCCTTAAAAAAAATCTCCGTCGGTTTATTCATTCATCTGCTACACTAAAAGATAAAAGAGCAATTTGCATCACTCATTCGTGTTCATCTCATCAAAATCTTCCTCCCCTAAATTCTGGTTGTTTCGTCGCAGCATTTCCTACCCACGTCTCCAGACTACCCGTCCATCCCAATAATCTGCCAAACTACCTGCTTTTGTAGCTTTCCATTTACTCGTCTCTGCTCTGAATGTCGCAGACTTTCCTATACACTGACTTATCGCATGTATTGTTTTGATGTTCATTTCTTTTGCTTGAAGAAATAGGCTTTAAATGATCATTTAGAAGAAGATCGACTCTACGTGTTATGACAATTAATTTGATCAGTTTCACGAGTTCTGTCGATACAGATTCCTAGTTCTTTATGAAGGCCGTTTCATCGATTCATGTTGCCGTTGAAAACGGTATTTTACTTGCCATACAATTTGAGGTTTGAACCTCTTTACTCATATTTTTTGTCGCGGCAATAATCACCGTGCTAATTATTCTGAACAAGCTTTACTTCACCTCTGAGCTGTTCAGTGCTATGAAGAGTCAGCGCGGTTCCAGCATAGAAAATTTCAGAAGTTCTGTTTATATCACGTCTTTCCAGAATCCTCAAAAACGAGAATGTCACCTTAAAATCTTAATGGCAAGAGATTATTTTATTCAGTGGAGGAATGTGACTTTAATGTACAATCGACCGATTAATGTGAATTTTCTGTAATCACCCGCAGTCGCTTTAGACCTCCGATTCATATCAAAGTAAGTGCTTGAGTGTTTAGCATTTCTTACCCGGACGGAAATCGAAGCAGTTATGGGAGTTGAATTGAATTGAATAACCGAGCTGACGTATGAACCATATCACTTTATGAAAGGCGGAAAAAAATAAGGATGAAAATGGTCGCTAAACAATAAGGCTAATGGAAATATTTTTTTTAAACTCCGCCGACTGATAATGCCAGCTTTTCGGCGTGATTCTTATCTGCATTCTGTGTACCTACATGTTTTCTCATGTATGAGTCCTACCGCTAAACTTTGCCGCGCTAGTGGATGGAAAACTAAACTAACCAAATGCAAACTGTTGTCTCTTGAAATCCTAGCAAAACATTCCTTTCTGTGAAATCATTCTCTAATCAAACGGAAGTTAAATTTTCATCTGATGTATCATTCATTAAACAGTAAACAACGTCCGTAGCTGATGCTCTCCCTCGCCCATCTTATCCGCATGAACCTGACCGGTTTATCTGCTCTCCATATGATAATAGTGCAGTTAGTAACTGGCAATTACTATGAGGCAAACACTTTTGCAAAAGATG